AATGCAGAAATATTTCTGCCTCATAAAAATGTCTCACAAACATTTATGATAGATCGAATTGTAATTAGATTAATGATCCTGTTTTTTGAAGTAGCATTCATTATAATGCATTTATTCATTTTGGAAACAGAAGAGTGAGAATGTCAAAATCCATTAATTAAAATCAAAACTATTTTCGGTAAGTAGAGGCTTGTTCTTCTGTTACAGGGAAACTAATGTATTTAATGTACAGGGATTCCTACATTGATTTTAGTGTTATTATCGACGAATATGAAACCGAAACGAAATGTCTTCTGTTTTGTCGGACCTGACAATACATCTTCCTTTAGTTCGATTCTCAAAGAAAGTAGAACAATGGAAACAACAGAGTAATTCCCCGGTGAGAAGAGAAAATAAATAAAAGAAAATTCCACGACAGAAAAGAATTTTTCTTCTTATTCTGACCTAGATTACTCGACCTCAAATAAAACAAAAATAAATGCAAAGGGGCTAACCGACTTGTGTGACACACAATAGATTCGAGTTCTGTACGCCTAGGCTTATTGAAAGCTTCCTTTTATTAAATAAGAATTTTTCCCCGTCGAAATAATTCCATTATTCAGCTACTAATACATCTCACTAAAAATACCTTTACAAATCTCACTAAAAATTCTTAAACAGTCATCTGTTTCTGTTTATGTTAATACTGAAAGGAATCCGTAAGTAAAATTCTCGAAACACTAAAAAATAATTGAAAATTTGTTGAATTCCAATAATAAATATGCATGCATTTATATATAAAATTGTTCACGGATTGTAAATGCTTTATGATTAAAACTCATATGTAGAACACTTAAAAGGTTTTACATTAAAATGAATTGCGGAATAAACAGGTATAATTATGATTAACTTTGGCTAAAAGAAGTATTTGTTCCTCACTAAAGCAGTCTTAATTTTGAAATACCTATGAGTGCAGCTTTTCAAGTAATTCTAATGAGAATAAATGAGAAAACATAAATAAAATAAATTTTCATTCATTCTGTGTTGTTCATTCGCCTAACATCTTAATGAGAGATGTGGTACACGCATTCGTAATGTTGGTGGGCCTTTTAAGAACCTAAAACGACTGTACTTTTTCCTAGAAATCTACTTAAATATTAATTAAAACAGCAAGCACAGATAACGCTTTATTTTATAGACCGCTGCTATGTTAGTAATAAAACTGAGTTTCCTTTAAATTGGAACCTTTAGGACTAAAGAGCGGATGCCTGTTAAAAGGTTTTACAGGTTTGACTTGCTAAAAAATGCATCTTTTATTTTAATGTTATTGTTTCATCGTAACTATTTATGCATAAACCAAATGAGCATATCGCTTTATTTGAAACGACACAATTTCTGATATTCAATTAGGACAGTTTGTGAGATTAATTGATGCACATGATTATTTCGAATTTAGATTTTTACATCGTTTATCTTTAGAAAAATTAATATAATTAAACATTTTTTTGTATTCATGTCGTAGAATCATTAGATTATTTCGAAAGCGGGAGATGTGAAAAATGAATAATGCCATCGCCGGAATCCGAACCACGGACCTCTCGAATACGCGTCGAGTCTGCTAACCACAACACTAAGGATATTGGATAACGCTAAGAAAGCGGTAGAAATATCTTATAATGTCATTAAATTTATTTTTCGTAAATTATTACGAGAAAAATTACTGATATGCCTATGGAAAACATAAACGTATTTGAAATATTGGTAACAAATACGTTTGAAAGAAATTTAATGTTCATGAGAATGCTGGTTAATGAATAAAAAAGCTCAGTTTTAACAATTTATTAAATATTTGAGAGCACAATTAAGTAGTAGACTTTCTGCTCAGTGAAAAACTGACTAAACTTAATCATACATGATTAAAAGTAGCGCATAACCAAGCAGAGTATTATTAAAATCTAAAATAATATATCTATAAATTAGTTTAAAAAGTAATGTTTCTATTATTTTTAATATACTTACGAAATGAATGACACAAGAAACCTATGAGGAACGTTTTGCTAAAAATTGGTAAAATTCGCTGTTAATGATAGTGGGACCAAACTATGCGTAAAAGTAAGTTCGTGTGCTGCAATTTAGTTTGAAGGATTAGCTGTTTTTAATATTGTTTTGTGATCTGAAGTAAAAAATGACAGTAAAATAAAATGTAACGCAAAATGTTGTTATTTTTAATTCTTTAATCATACAAATTAATATATAACAATTGCTTAAAGTAATTCCATCAGTGGCTCCTGATGAAGATGTCACCTTAAATGAAGGTTTTAGATTTTTTACGTTACTATATCAGTTTTCTTAATTTCATGCAGTAATTGTGTTCACTGCTTTATTCATTTTTTGTTTTGTTTTGCTGTTTCAACGAAATAATAATTCAAAATCTGCTATTTTCATTATATATATGAATTAAAACAGCGTATATATTGTTTTAATTAAGGGTTAATTATTATTTTAATTAAACAACATATCTATTGTTTTAATGCATTCAGTTTTCCGCTCTTTAAATTAAGAAAATCATTATTTTCTTTTAACGTAAAGTATTTTTAAGTTTATATTGTATTTTATACCGAAGTCGTTTTATATGATTGGTTTCTCGTAACGAATCAGAACAGGCTATGTTAGTGTTCATATCAGTTCAAAAGAATTATCACAAATGGCAGTAAATGGTATTCTTCTTTCTTCTTCCTTAACACTTTCTTAAACTTTTCTAAATGATTAAAATAATTTTTATATTCATAATTTCAAATTCAGTTCAAATATTTCACAGATTTAAATTTCCCAGTTCTGTCATTTAAATCTATTACAAAATACTTAACATACCTTTTTTAAATTTGGAGAATGTCTTACCATTTTGAAAGAGATGTACGTAATTCATATTTGATGAGTATTTAATTATTAGAGAAAATATCAATATAAGGAAAACAAGACATGAGACCAAAACACTTCATTGACTCATTCTATTTCCCGTCGATAGCTATATATCACAATAAAATAACACCACACAGATTACAGAAAATAACACGCTCGTACTAGCACCAATACCGGAGAAAGCACCGGTAATAAGCACAACTTTTCCTTTCAGATCAGTCATTCCGATAGAAAGCGAAAACAAGTGCTTCTACTAAATACCCAAAACTTGCATACCCCGTTTTTCTTGTATAGTAGTAATAGCAGCAAAGAAAGGTTCCTCCTATAGACGTGACATTCAGCATCTTACACATACCGCTATCCATGTTTCGCAACAGACAAGATAATTTTTAAAGAGCAATAGGAAAGTTAAAGGAGCAAGAATGTGGTGATATTTTATTGGATAACGCATTGTGAAACGGAAAGACAGACATATATTGGTATGGACCCGCTGGCTAAAACCCGCTGGGGTACTGAAATTCAACTAGTTTCTGCAATTTTTTAAAACTTCTTAATATATAATTTAGAATATATACATTAATTTACACAAATTATCTCAATTATAAATAGAAACAAATCAATTTTGTGAAATTCAAATATATGCCAAGATGTCAAAAAGTGTGAAGGAAACGAAGAAGAATTCAGAAAATAAATTCTATAAAGAAACAAATATACCCAAATCTATGCATGCAAATACTCATGAATATCTTAAATGAAACAAAGTCAAAGAATACTTCATATAAATTTTAATTTTATGATTGAAATTAAACAATAGTATATTAATAAAACACATCAAATAAAACTGCAATATAAATCAACAGACATCTCAAGAATCTGCAAGTCACTTTTATGCACTATTCTGTATATATAATGGTCAATGAAAAGCCATATGTTTTCTTTATTTTTCACAATATTTAAAAACGACATCTAAATTCTTAAACTTTGAGGTGTCTTGCGTTCCATACAATGACATATAAAGTCATATAAAGTCATTTATATTCTATATGTCATTGTATGCGTTCCATACAATGACATATACAATCATGGTACAATGGTATCATAGTTTTGATTCATTTTTCAAATTACACTAAATTTCCGGTTTTCCGAATTACTTATTCAACAGTTCAAACGCTTATATTTATCCTTTTACAGTAGTACGTGAAGAAGTTAAAACACGCGCTTTTTTATTAGGAAATCTTCTTTCTAGTACTTAAAATGAAGTTTAAATTTAACTCCTGGCTGAAAACGATAACTCAAAATGTTCTTTCAATCAATAAATCAATCGGATCTTGTAAAATTCATTAAAAATATCGGGAGAAATATATGAACAATTAAGGCTACAGAAATTTTTTATACGGAGACAAATAATATACAGTAAAAAAAACATGACCACAGTAAGATTAGATATTAAAAACTGAAGATGAAGGTGAAATTTTAATAATGATCTATACTGGGTATTATGATGTATTAACATGCTGTTAGGTTAAAGATCAACATATGAACTTTGAACTCGTCAGGTAATGACAGAGTAGATAAGACATTTGAACATTGTTAGTTCACTCCGGGTTCAAATTTTGACTAAGATACTGACTGTTTGTTTACCTTTCACAGCTTTCTTCATGTGTGACGTAAATACGACACACGAAGCCATCACGAACGTAACCCTCCCCTTAGGTAAACAGCTATCATTGTGCGGTCATATTAAAAAAATACGAAATTATCTGTGTTCTGTTATATTCTCCCGTTTGTTTGGAAGAATATCAACGTAATTCTGAAAAACCATTAAGTCATCTCTTAGACAGTATCTGATTCCTGTAAATTCTCTGAAGAACTATTTTTTTCAGTATTAAATGTTATGTTATAAATTATTTGCTCTTGCCGGTTATCTATACATATTTGTACATTAAATAGTATAATTAATTTAGTCATTATTAGTATAATTCATTTAGTTATTATTGTACTATAATTTGCTAATAATTACATATATACAAATTTAGAAAAAATAAAGAAGCATTGGTTTTCTCTCGATGGAATTTGTAACACATACGAAAACAATAACTTACCAATCCTGATACTGTGATATTTTCTGAACTGCTGAGAGGTAAAACATCTGTAGCAATATGTCCTTCTAAAGCTTGAGTCAGTTCCCATGGCGAACAGGTGGCATTTGGCTCTCTTATTTCCCACCATCGCTCTCGAAACATTCCTACGATAATCCACTGATACTTGCGGCCGTACATTTTTAACCTGTAAGCCTGAAAAGAGAACAGTTATGACTTTTGTGGCTCTGCATAATAATAACAATATCAATCACATAAACTACATCTGTTACACTGGTAAATTATATCTTGAATATAGTTCAGATTGATAGTTATAACTAAGAACTGCTGAATGCTCGTAAAGAGATTTCGTCTTATAAACCCATCAGTTCCAAATGGTGTAAAGTTAAGTTTTTGAGACTTTGAACTAACTCTGAAAGTGGTTATAAAAGACTAGCTGAAACAAGTCGCAACATTTTGAAAGTCCAGTTGCAAAATCAAATCGGAAGGAGCGCAACGGGCTTGTCCATTTACAGTGAATGCTCTATGAAGAAAATAAAGTAAAATAAGTTTTCCCAGAATCTTATTTCAAATCTCTAAAAACAGACGTATATCATTTTAAAACCAAATGACTTATATGTAATAGTCAATAGCGATTTCTTGAATTAGTATTTTGATTTAAAACGATCATAATAAATTGCATTTCGTGTATGTTTTAAGCTCGACAAACCAACATGTAATATGAAATTTAGGCGGGAAACTAAATTTAATGTCTTGTTTGTTATCAGTTTTTTAAAGGTCATTTGAAGCATAAACTATTTAGCCATTGAATGCAGAATTTTTTAAAAAGTATTAATCGAGAGAAATTACTCATACTGCTGCAACAAATGTTCGATTGTTGCTAGTAGTTAACGTTTAACAGATGAAATTAAACTAAATTTCAGTAAATTTAACTGCGTAAATAAATTTATACTTTAAATGTTTACTGATACCTTAGTTTTAGAAATACTTTTTTATTGCCAGTGATCATCCAATCGGCGCTCACAGTACCTGATGTGTCCTTATCAATGCTCCGACATATAACATCCAGGACAACGGTGGGATCCTCACCTGAATACTGTCCACCACACAGCACAACAACCAGGAACCATGAAGTTATGGTACAAGGTGCCATTTCATTTGATAGCCGAACCCCTTTGGTTTTTATCTATGACACTCTTACAGCACGGTGGTAAGTCGACTGAGATTCTAAGCTTCGTAGTGTTGTTTCTTTTTTCATTGACCCCGGGTTTACGTTTTAAAAGAATAATGTCAGGGTGCACACGGCACGCCTTTCTAGCACTTATCTCCGTGCTTCTCCAGCACTTCCGTAGTCGGCGCGAACACCAGATTTCTTGCCAATAATGTATGTTTGGTCTACGATGTGCAAAAATCTACGAACGTCACAGTTTCGCGTTGATCTTGCACGCCAGTTTGAACATGTATGACAAGCAATCTCGCAGGAGGACATCCGCCAACTATATGAGTCAAGGCTCGACCGCATAGCTGCTTCCATCAGAGACAGAAGTGGACCGAAGCATTAGTGATTTCTTTTGCTCTTTTAGCTGCATTTCCTGCATAAAGCATTCAATTCCTATGATATTGTTAGCTTTTCCTTTTCAATATATGTACACAGCACAGCTACCGATTTTCGTCTCATTCGGAAAGCTCTTTTTTGTGCGTCCATTTTTAGGTTATTTAGTTTTGTGCGTCGCTTTTTAGGTTATAATGTATAATAATTGTAAGACTTGGAGGCTCGCTTCAGCACACGTGGACAGGAGTGTCCCCATAGCTCAGAATAAATGTTTTACGCCGACAATTTTTGCCATATGTGTATCGTTCCAGCGCTATTTATAGTTTTTCAATGCGATGAGCAATTTAAGCAGAAAAAGAGTTGGTGTTGCCAATGGGAAATTTCGAAACATTTCCAATGCCGCCTAACCGTGATAGCTCTATTATTTTAAATCGCCATAATATCGAACGTATACCTTCAAATAACAACACCTGAAATTTTATTTCGATTGGTTGAGCGGATAGGCCGCTAGGGAGTCGTATATCGAGAAATTGCGTAATGACCACTCTGTGCAGACACTTTGAAATGTAATATACCAAAGGAGAGAAATATATGTACTTCTCTGTATTATTTATTTGGATAACTAAATGTACCATTATCAAGATAAATAAAATAACTTTCAGTTTTTATGCCTTAATTAGTTATTAACTCAGTTTATAGCGATTCTTTACATTTCTCACTGTACAGAAGATGTAGACTATTGCTGCTTTAGATCATGATGAAAACTAAAAACATTTTTAATAAACGTTAATAGCTAATTATTTTACTATTATACTGTTTTGAAAGGAAACATAATCATTAAAATATTTTAAGCAAATATCACAAAAATATTGTGCTATAAGAGTTTCGTAAAACATGAGACAAAATATTTTATTGATTTTGTTGTCAATTATTATACTTTTTCACAAATTTATTTATAATTGATATAGATGGATATTATATATCTTAAAATTTTCAAAACATAAAAAATATGGTAGTAAATAGTTAATGATTTATCGCAATTAAAAATTTTTTGTAGAAACCATTCTCTATAATTTCAAGGAAAATAGATATCATTAAAACTCACAAAAATTTGCCCATGAAAAGTCAAAAATTTAGGACTCACATTTTCTCTATACAATATTCATGTTTCGCGAGCATAAACTGAAAATATATGTTTCCAATGTTGTTATGTCTCTTTCTTACGAAATTTGAGTATTACATTAATTTTGTGTTATTCCCTTAAAAACGTTCTGTCCGCCTAAAAGTTATCAATATAATTTTTATCAATATAAAACTAGTTTTCTTATAAAAGTTATGTTGTCACCAAATAACCGCCTTATAAAACCCGCCCTACATAATATACAAACCCGCTCTATAAAAGTTAATGTTGTCACCAAATGGCTTTGAACTGGCCACTGAATTCGTTGCAGTTAACTTACGGTTATTAACTGAAACGAATGCAGGAGTTTAAATAATATGAATTCTGCAAAAACATTTAGATCTAAATTTTTTATGTTTCATTCCAAAGGTCTCTTTTTTTTTCTTAGCTCGCAAAATACATTTTTTGAATTCCTTAAAGTGCGCATCAGAAAGTGTTTGCGAAAAATACTCACTTTAAGATGCTTATAAATATGGGAATTTGAGCTAAATCGGTATGTCCAAATTTGCAAACTTTCTTTGTAACATGTAAGTCTCATTTCTTACAATATTAAAATGCATTAGATCTAAATAATTAATTTAAATTCTTATCATAACACAAAGAACTGGTAAATATATAAAATGAGTATACTGTTTACAATGCAATATCCAATATAAGCGATTTTTCACGAATTATTTTAGTTCTTAAATAAAGGAAAAGTAATTTAATGAATAAAAGTAAGTTCAGAACATATATAAGAGACGTTTTACAATTAATTCTGCACTTCAGATAAAGTCTAGTTAATGAAAAAAAGAAAGTTTCCCTCCCATTTTAATTAGGACGAAAATCCTTCTCCCCTCCCCCCAGTAATATAAAAAAGTTAGTAAAGTTCATGAAAGGGAATCTTTTTATCCTTTTAAAGCAACTGGTTTTCCGTATTCACAACAAAGCTTTTTTAGAAATATTTTACTTTATTTCATGTTTAGAGGAAAAAAAATCGTAATAAATCTATTCATTTTTTAAACGTGATATATGATAAGACGTTTAGAATGATTCATGTTTTCGTTCCTTCTAAGGCATATGAATCACATAAATTCAAGGTTACTTTTGAGTATATGGCAAGTTTAGTGTAAAAATGTTAAAAAAAATCGAAAAAAATATGAGCATCTGCTCATTTCTTTGCCATTTATCGCATTTGCTTCTCTCACATTTTCCACGTTCATCACTTTTTAGCCAAAAAGGTTCTATTAGTCTCCAAACAAATGGCGTATTACTATTAAAATTGCTGCAACAAATATTATCGCCCTGTGTTATTTTTAAAGAAATTAAATAAAGAAGAATCCACGTGTATGTACTGTTACGAATTTTGTGCACAGGCAGATAATTTTAGTGAAATTGTTCTATTTCTTTAGTATTATGTAACATGAAACTCTAAAGGTGCAAAAGCTGCTGAAAAAGTAAGAATACAGGGGGCAAGTCTATTTAACATTGAGTAAATGGCTATTTCGCTATTTTGGGGAGAAATCGCCAAAAGTCTACTAACTTGTCAACCATTTATCTGATCCGGTCCCTGTATCCTCGTATTAGATATTGTAACTGATGTTTTGTGTGACTGTTTTCCGCCTATATATGCCTTAGAGAAATTTCGAAAAGCAGAAAGTAATAGAAATATTTCGGCGGCCGGATGAAAACTATATAAGACCGGAGAGAGAGCATCTGCACAGAGCTGCTATTGTTGGGAGCTGTTAGTTCCGAGCGACTTCGTATTATTGACAGCTTCGCCTTTTAGATGACTTTGCATTCCCTTGTATTAACGTTCTTAATAGTTTGAAGTGTACCTACTGATTGTATTCTGTGATACAGTGCAAACATGTACAATTATTGTGTGTGGAAAGTTCTAGAAATCTGAAATTTTTTTGGGGGGGCGCTTCTTTTTAAGTAAATTTTAACCTATCATCGGACCTGTGTGCGTTCAATCTACTGCAAACCCGCACGCTCACGCTACACTATGTATGTATATGCTTGCCATGTGAAAAAAAGGCAGGAATTAGAGCCATCAAATTTTCAATAACGTAGTCTTCCACCCAAACATGTGTAAGGATTATGTTAATTTTATTAACAGTTAAATTTTGAATTAAGCTTCCTTTCCCATCGCTTCTTAATTTCAACTTATTACTTCCGGGCAGAACGTAGTTTCAGAATTACGTCTGAATGCAAAGTGAGGAAGAGTGTATTTAACCTCGAAGTTCTGCTGTCTTAGTCAGAGAGAGAACCAGACATTCTGGTTAGCACCCGTCCGCTTTTTTAGGCTACTCTGTCTTAAGCTATTGTTACGCTCGGCCGTACTTTAGGCCTTTGATAGCTTCGCAGTAATTAGCGTTAAGGAGCCAACTTCATTAGAATCTTGATAGCTTCAGCTATACCTAGCCCAAGTGTCGGCTTTATTGTAAAACTCCAAGTTCTGTTAAACTTTAGTTCAAATAA